ACCAAAACCCAAAACAAAAGGAAAGTGAAAATCAACGCAAAAATGAATTTTGGTTAAAAAAAAGAGATGGATGAGTAAAACGAGTGTAAATATTTTATTTTAAGATTCAAAAAAATTACAGATATTCTGTTGCCCTTTTATGATATTTATTATACTAAAAACAAGCATTTTTGAAATTTTCATGTAAAAACTTTATTATCGTTTTGATAAAATTTGGGAAAAAAATTTTTTTAATTTTTGTAAGATAATGTTTATGTTTATCTCTAGTCTTTATAGCTTAAAAAATTTAGAACTTTAAAAAATTTAACATTTATTAAAGTTTAATTTATCAAGTTTAATTTTCAAGTTTAATTTCAAGTTTATTTTTAAGTTTAATTTAATTTTTAAGTTTATTTTTAGGTTTATTTTCAAGTTGAATTTTAAAGTTTATGTATTTTAAAGTTTAATTTTCAAGTTTATTTTAAAGTTTATTTTCAAGTTTAATTTCAAGTTTAATTTTAAAGTTTATTTTTTCTGAAGCAAGTTTATTTTTAAAAAAACATTTTAATATTGTATTTAAACTTTGTTTCAGAAATAAGCCTTTATTTATTATTTTCAGGTTTATTTTCTGAAAAACAAGTTTATTTTATTTTAATTGTTAACATATAATTGAAACATTTAAGCAGAGATTTATTGCTTCATGTTTACTTGTTGTTGCTAACACACTTTTTAAACTAATTTCCCTAATTTTCTTTTTTTTATTTAATTTTTTATTTTTTCTAATTATTTTTAGACATTTTTAAATATTATTTTCCCCAAAAATTTATTTAAAAAATTATTCCCAAAAATGGGGCCATTCCATTTAACATCCTTTTTAAAAGACCACAATCAATTTTTCAAAAAAATTTTTTCTCAGTCTCTGGAATTTTTTTTCTATTTTATTTTTAATTTACTATTGTCTCTTCCTCTAAATTAATGATAAAAAACGTTAGAATATTTTAAAATAAATTAAGTAATTGACTAATAAATACATCTGCCGATCATAAAAATAATTAAGAAATTTTGGAAAAAAAATTTTTCTACAAAAAAAGATAAGAAAATGATAAAAAGAAAAACTTTGTACTGTTTTTAGGAAAATATTGAGAATTAAATCGAGAATAAAAAAATATTTAGTAAATATAATTGAGTTGATTGATTTTGCTGATATTTTCCTTTAAATATTTATTATTATTTATTGTAATATAATTGTAATAAATTCCGCCTGCTTCAAGTTTTGATTTAATATTTATTTATACATATAATTGAACCTGATCTCTATTTTAATTATTATATAAATTAAGGCTCAGTTTAAGTTTTAGTTAGTAATTCCGCCTGATTTACAATTATTTTAATTAATTCCGCCTGCTTCAAGTTTTGATAAAAATTATTACTTCAACGTTCTATTTAATAAACTTTGTTTCAAGTTTAATAGAAAATAAACCTGAAACTTATTTTAAGTTTTATTTTAATAAATTCCGCCTGTTTCAAGTTTTAATAATAATATACCTTAATTTAAGTTATTTTAAGTTTATTTTAATAAATTCCGCCTGCTTCATGTTTTAATATAATACTTAATTCAGCCTGCTTCAAATTTTAATTAATTAATATTTTTAAATGAATAATAATAAAAATAATCCAACCTCTACACCCACTAGTACATCAACCATTGATGAAATTGAAATGCTAGAAGAGCCTTTAAATATTTCAGATTATTATGAGGGTGTTAGGTAATTAATTAGAGTTATAATATTTTTAAATTTAATTTTATAGTGTTTTGATAACAGGCGCTAGCGGCTTTTTAGGCAAAGTGTTGCTGGAAAAGTTGGTTTTTTCTCAACCCAAATTAAATAAAATATATTTGCTTCTACGCCCTTTGAATAGAGAAGCACCGCATTTAAGACTGTCAAAAATACTTGAGGTAAATTAAATAATTTTGCTTCAACTTCAATCTTTAAATTAATTTTTAGAGTCCATTGTTTAGCCGAATACGTTGCAAGGATGAAAATAGACTTGAGAGAATGCTTGTGCCTATATGTGGGGATTTGATGCAAGAAGATTTGGGTCTTAGTTGTGAAGACCAAGAAACGCTAGCTAATGAAGTTTCTATTGGTATGAGTTTATAATCAAGTTTGCTTCAAGTTTGATTAGTTGTGAAAAAAGCAGAATTGAAATTAAAAAATCCGCCTGCTTCAAGTTGCAATAAATATTAAACTTTTTCTAATTCCGCCTGTTTCAAGTTTTAGTAAAACCTATATTATAATTTTAAAAATTTGCTTCAAGTTTTTTTATTATTTGTTTATTTCTTTAAGTTTTTCACTGTGCGGCAACGGTAAAATTTGATGAAGCATTGCGTGCTTCTATTCAAATGTTTGTAGATTTTTAAATAAAAAATAAAATTAATTAGATGTTGATAAAATAATTTTTTCTAAATTAAAAAAATTTAAAGGAATGTAATAGGAACTCAGCGATTGACTGCGCTTTGTAGACGAATGAAACATCTTCGAGTAAAAAATAATTTTTTAATTTTTCTGAATAATTTTAAAAAAGGCATTTGTTCATACATCGACAGCCTATGCTAACTGTAATAAAGAATGTACTTCAGAACATATTTATGAACCTTGTGTTAATGCTTCTAAATTAGTCGAAGCAGCAAGTAGTTGGATGAATGAAAAAATGCTTGATTCCCTTTCTGCTCAATTACTTGATGTATTTTAATTTTAAAAATAATTTAATAAAAAATATTTTAAAAAATATATTTATTTTTAAAAAATTATTTTTAGAACCGCCCAAATACTTATACTTTTGCTAAAGCGTTAGCAGAAAGTCAGGTAATTGAATAATTAAAACTTGAAACATAAAGTATAAAAATAAACTTAAAACAAAAAATAAACCTGAAACTATAAATAAACTTTGAAGTTTAAACTTAAGTTCAAGTTTATTTATTAAAACTTAGGTTTAATAAATAAACTTGGATTTTTTATAAAACTTAAGTTTTAAAAAATAAACTTGAATTTATTAGGAAAATTAAGTTTAAACTTAAACTTTTTAGCAGGCTTAAGTTAATTTACAACTTTACTCGAAAACTCAAGTTTAATAAATAAACTTGAATTTATTCTAGAACTTAAGTTTTAAGTGGAACTTAAAGTTTCAAGTTTACTATTTTCAATTAACTTTCTTGAATTTTTTCAGTTGCTAGAACAACAGAAACAATTTCCTTCCCTCCCGATAATAATTATTCGACCTTCCATTGTCGGTGCTATATGGAAGGAACCCCTTCCCGGATGGATTGATAATGTTAACGGACCCACAGGGATATTTATTGGAGTTGGGAAAGGGTTATTAACTGATATGTGTGGAAATGTGGACATAAAAACAGATATTATTCCTGTTGATATTGTTGCTAATATGTTGATTGCTGCTGCTGTTTATAGAGCTAAAATGTTTTTTATTTAAAAAATGGATTTAATTTTATTTTAAAAATTAAAGGCCGAATAAGGAAGTAAATAATGAAAAAACAACGACAATACCAATAATACATTGTACTTCAGGCGAATTAAATCCGTTAAAGTGGAGAAGGTTGTAAAGTTGAAACTTTTAATAATTAGAATTTATAAACTTGATTAATAGTAAAATTAAAACTTAATTAATAAACTTGAAACTTTTACAATTTGTAAAAATTTTACAATATGTAAAAGTAAACCTGAAATAAATAAACTTGAAATAAACTTGGATTATAAAATAAACTTGAAACAATTTAATAAATAAACTTGAAACTTTTGCAAGCATAAAATAAACTTGAAATTAACTAAACCTGAAATAAACTTGAAAAATTTTAATAAATAAACTTGGAACTTTTTCGATTTGTAAAAATTTTACAATTTGTAAAAATAAACTTGAAGTAACTAAACTTGAAATAAATAAACTTGAATTTAAAATAAACTTGAAACATTTTAATAAATAAACTTGAAACTTTTACAAACTTAAAATAAACTTGGAATTAATTAATAAACTTTACTAGGCATAAACTTAAGTTTTAATATTTATTTGTAGAATTGTAAATTATTTGGAGCAATTTTTCCATGCTTATCCCTTTGATCAGTGCTACAGGGTGACTTGAAAAATTATTAATTTTTTTAATTTTCGAATAAAATTAAAGGTTCCCTCAACACAGTTTCATCGTCAAAGAAAAATATTTTTGTTAAATTTTTATTTGAAACATTATTTAATTGCCCAGGCTGCCGATCGTGCCTTTAGATTGGTTGGAAAAAGGCCAAAGTTGGCAAAAATTAAATTCAAAAATAAATTTAAATATTAACAGATTTGTTAAAATATATAACAAAATATGGAGGATGATGGAAACATTACATTATTTTACTACACGTGAATGGACTTTTGAATCAAAAAATGCGGTTAAGTTGTGGAATGGAATGAGCATGGAGGATAAAAAGGTTTGAAGAAGAATAGTTTTTCTTAGTGTTAAAACTTAAGATTAAACTTGGAAATTAAAAAATAAACTTGAAACAATAAAATAAATAAACTTGAAACTTAAATTAATATGTATTAAACTTGAAAGTTTCATAAACTTTAAGATTGGACTTAAACTTAATTAAACTTTTAGAATGAACTTGAAATTAGATAAACTTCAAGATCAAACTTGAAACTTAATTAAACTTGAACATGAAATAAACTTTAAGCTTAAACTTAAAAATAAATAAACTTGAAACAATAAAATAAAATTGTAACTTGGAAATAAACTTGAAGCAGATTAAGATTGAGCTTGAAAATTAAATAAACTTAAACTTTAAATTAAGGCTAAACTTGAAAGCCAAAGAACTCAAGATTAAAGTTGAAGCTTAAATAAACTTGAAATTAAATAAATTCTCAAAACTTAAGTACTTAACAAAAAATTATATATTTAATTAAAGTTGTACAACTTTGATATTCGCAAGGTTGATTGGGATACATATTTATTCAACTATTTAATGGGAATTAAGGTAAATTTGCGAAGTTTAATTTTGAAACAAAAATATTTCTAGATTTACATGCTAAAAGAACGCCTAGAAAATTTACCAAAAGCGCAGGCGGCACTTTCTTGGTTAAGGCAATTTAATTTTTATTCTACTGGACTTTGTTTTGCTTTAATATTACGCTTCACAATTTGGTTTTTTTTAATTTTAAAAATAAAAAAATATTTTTTTTAATTAAAAGGCGTCGTCAGAAAAGGCATAAATGGATCCCTTGGTTTACTGGATTTTTCCTCTCCTATTTCTACCATAACTATAACATTCTAAGGAGACCATCGGCAGATTTAATTCCACTAGAAGAATATAAACGTCAATCTATCCCACATTATTTGGAGAAATTTTCATAAATATTTTTTTATCTTGATTTTATTTTTCTTTGAAAAAATTTGATTTTATTATTCTGATTTTTTTCTGATTTTAAAGTTTTAAGATTGAGCTTAATTTTAAGTTGTATTAATTTTTTCAAGTTTATTAAAATGTCAAGTCTGAACTTGAGCCTATTTACGTTTTAAGTTTAATTTTAAGTTTAGTTAGGTTTGAACTTAAGTTCTTCTAAGGACCTGCTCTCGACAATACAGAATGGGGGTTTATTATAATGTCAGACTTAAGTTTATTGTCTTTAAATTATAAATTTTTTAGGTATGAAGTTAAGTTTTAAAATCATAATACCTATATTCTAATCACTAGTTTAAATTAATTGTCTGTTTTATTAGTTTAATTTAATTAAAAAATCTAAGATTCTGATTTTACATTTCAGCTAATTGTTTTTACTACCTTAATTAAATATTTAGAATATTATTCTACTAAGTTTATTATGATTCTAAGCATATAAAAAATATAATTATAAGCTAGTTAAAAATATAATTAACATATAAATACTAAAGTATAACTAATAAAATATTTGAATCGACCAAAATTAAGCTTTAGGAATTCCAAATGAAATTCCTGATTGTTCAAATCCAACTTCATTCACTCCACGTCGGATTTTGAAAAATCCATATTCTCCCCATCCAGTACCCCAAGAATTTGCTCCTATCCAAAAGTCAACTTTTTGATTACTGGTGAAGCATGTTTGTGTTCCCCATCCAATGATACGAACAGCATGGTAGCCAACTAATTGATTGCTAGTTCTCTTTAGAAAAAATTTTTTAGACTCAGTTTACTATACACTTCTTAAGATTAGGTTAGCAACTGGTTAGGAGAGCTGTCTAAGCAATACCCTATACTTAAGATATTCCTCATAATATTTTTGCCTTAAAGGGACATCTTATAGTTATCAGGGGTGTGCGTATTATTGCCCATTTTGGCGTTCTGACTTTGGCGTGTTTTAGGAATTTAAAAAATTTGTATTTGCCACACATCCCCGATAGCGGTTTTCCTTTATTTTAATTAATTTACATACAAAATAGACTCCAGATCTGTAAGACATAAAATCTGAGTAGACAGCGAAAATAGCTACAACAGGCCCATTTGTTTGTATTTCTCTTTGAATGGCTGCTACAGTTGCTTGACTTCCAGAAAGTTGGGCAGCCGATACTCCTTTATTTTTAAGTAAAAAAATTTTTTTCAATAAAATTACCCATATGTTTATCCTGTGGATAAGCGGTTCTCCAACTTGCTGTGCATGACGACATACAAGGAGGGGCCGGCCCAGCTTGGTTCGGTGAGAAAGGATAAGGTTTGCATCCACTTTTCCAAGTATAATCAGTTCCAGTACAAACCCCCTTAGTTTGTATCCACTGCCAAGCACTATAAGGCCAACCACCACGGCAACCATCTCCTTGCATTGAACATGTTAGCACGTCTAGAGCTGAAAATTGATAACCAGCATCATTTGATGGGGAATTCTGTCCTTTTTTGGCTCTAGCAATACAGTAACGATCAGTATAGGCAGAAGCGGTTGAGACAGCCCAACAACTGCCACATTGGCCTTGATTTTGAATTCGTCCAATTATTTGAGAACATCCAGACCAGTTAGTTCTGGCGTCAAAATCAACTTTTGGGAAGCATTCACAGCCTGGTTTTGTATCAAACTTTGGAGGGGTTGCTTCAGTTTTGTTTATTTTTACTTCAGCACTGAGTTTAACTCCACAAAGGATCTTTTGCTTTGCCAACGGCAAACGACTCAATTCGTTAACTGAGGCTGTCCATATTCCAGCAGCTTTTAAATTAATCTCTTTAACTAGCTTCTTAGCTAGTTCCAAATCTAATAATTCGTCAAGTAGACCATTAGACTTATTTTTAGTAGCAGTAGTTGAGGAAAGTAGCCAAATGGTGAAGGTTAAGATTAAAAATGTTTTGGACATTTTTTGATGCTTTTGGATTTTTTGGAATTTTTGAGGGAAGGAGAGGAGATGAAGTTGATTTTTACCAAGCTTTAGGGGGTTTATATATGAATTTTTTAATTATTTTTTATTTATTCAGTTTCACGCTAGACTTGTTTTTTTTTGTTTTTAGAAACCCACAATTTTGCACTTTTTAATTTTTATAAAATTTTTAAAAATAATATAAAAATTATTTTTAAAAATATTTACTATTTTATTTAACTCAAGCGGAGGAGGATGATCAAACAAAAAGTTAAAAAATAGTATTCATTTCCAAAATTTTATTTCTTCATTAATTTAAATTTTCATTTACTTTACTTTTAAAATTAAGTTTTAAGTTTAAACTTAAGTTTTATATTTTATTACAAGGCTTTCAAGTTTATTAAAGAGTCACACTTAAGTTTATTTTTTTAATTCTGATTTAAATTAGTATTCTGGTTTATTATTCTAGAGAAATTAATCAAACCTGAAATTCTGATTTTGTTTTAATTCTGATTTTATTTTTAAGTTAAAACTTGAAATTCTGGTTTTGTTTTAATTCTGATTTTATTTTTAAGTTTAAACTTGAAATTCTGGTTTTGTTTTAATTCTGATTTTATTTTTAAGTTTAAACTTGAAATTCTGGTTTTATCTTGAATCTTGGAATTCTGATTTTATCTTAAAATTTAAATTCTGATTTAAAGTTTTAAGTTTAAACTTAAAAAATATAAAAGTACATTGTACTTTCAGTATTATTTTAATTTTATCATACATATGTTATTTTCAATAATAATTTTAGATATTAAAAAAAAATCTAAAAATCGTAAAAAAACAGCCAATTAATTTAATGATGTATTGCTCAGATACATAATTTAATTAACAAAAAATAAAATTTTGGGTAAACAAGATATTTTTTTATTTTTACATTTTTTGTTTAAAGAAAAACAAATTTTAATTTTTACTTACTAACATTTAAAAAAATTGTTTTTAAATCAAAATAAATAATTTTTATTAATTCAAGACAAATAAATCAAAAAATTTTTGATTAAAAACTCAAAAAATTTTTTTTTAATTTATTAAAAAATGCCCCGAGGGCTTCCGGAAGATGGGTATAAAAGTTAAAATTATTTGTTTACCTCAACTCATAAAATAAAAATATAATCTTATTCTAAAAAATAAAATGAAGGAATTTTTACTTGCTTTGCTTGTCGCGTTTATTATGGCAATGATTGAATCTGCAATTGCTGGAGAGACTGGAGGACCTGATCAGTAATTTTATTACTTATTTATTTTTACGGATAAAATTCTGATTTCTAAAAATTCTGATTTTAAGAAATTCTGATTTCTAAAAATTCTGATTTTAAGAAATTCTGATTTCTGAAAATTTTGATTTTAAGAAATTCTGATTTCTAATAATTCTGATTTTAAGAAATTCTGATTTCTGAAAATTCTGATTTCTAAAAATTCTGTTTTCTAAAAATTCTGATTTCTAAAAATTCTGATTTTTATTTTCAGTGGAATTAAACGCGGTTATGGCAATTGGGGTGTTCCACCAAGACCCAACAACTAAAAAAAAGTAGATGTCCTGATGAATTAATAAAACTAACAAAAAACCGTGTCATGCTAACTAAAGGGAAAGACAAATCGAACGACATGACAAGGAACGACCAACTCACGGAATATTTTAAAAATCGGAATTTTTTTTGAAAAATCTGAATATTTTTCAGAATTTTTTTCCAATTTTGTTTTTTAAAGTAGTCAAATTTTTTTTAAAAATTCTTTTTTAAAAAAATATTAAGATTTTTCAAAAAATTCCGATTTTTAAAATATTCCATGTTTTAGCCATTTCGTGAGTTGGTCCTTGAATTGGTCGTTTCTTGATTTGTCTTTTCCTTGACTTGTCTGAATTTTTTAAAATCAGAATTTTTTAATTTTTGATTTTTAATAATTCTGATCTATAAAATTCTAATTTTTATTTATAGTGGAATTAAACGTGGCTACTATTGGGGTCGTAAATAATCATCCAATATTCAACAAATAAAGAAAGTAGATGTCCTGATGAATTAATAAAAGTATACTCAAAAAACTTTTGATTTTTTTATCAGAAAAAATTTTTTTAAATATTCTTTTTAGTTTATTTAAATAGGGAAATGCCATTATTTAAAAGAGAGAAATAATATTAAAATAAAAAAAAATATTTTTAAAAAAATCCAAAAAAAAATCAAAAAATACTTTCCACACAAAATATATTTAAAATTAAAAAAAATATATATAAAGATAAAAAAATTGTAAAACTTTTCTAGGAGCAAGACATATATCGGGAACCGAAATTTTGACCGGAACCGGGCCAATTTGAGTTCCGGATCCCGGAATCGGAACTTTTCTAAATTCTGGCCCAGAACCGGAACTTCCGGTAAAACTCTACAACATACGCAATATACCGCGTATTTATTCTAATTGAACGGCACCTCCAATTGAATGACAATTTTTAGGGTATTGGAAAATAGAATGGCTGCCATTCTGTTAGAATAAATACGTTAAGTTATTTTTTGTGTTACTGTGAAATCCCCCGATATACACCTATGTCCCCGTTCCGTTTTCTCCTAACCTTACAAGAGGTTGATCGGAATTCTGATTTGCGACGTTTTTTCCTTCCGATTTTTGAGTTCCTACTTTTGAGTCATTTCAAATTTCCGATAGTTCCAATTTCCGACAGTTCCAATTTCCGGCACCTTCGTCATTTCCGATCGACCTCTGTTCCCTAACAAAAAAACATTTTTTCCCTTTTTTTAATTTTTATTTTCAATTTTTTTTTCATTTTTCTTCCCCATATTTCCTCCTCATTTCCCCCTCCTCTTCTTTATTCTCCAATTTCTTTTCTCGGTTCTGTTTTAATTACTGGAAAAGGTGGTGGTGCAGAAACTAAAGAAGAAGCTTGCTGAGTTGTTGTTGTCAAAAATTGTCCTCCCCCTCCCCCACTTGTTTGATTTATTTTTAAGACTAAAAGTAAACGATGTGGAGACCCTTCTTGTAAAAGTAATGGT